TCGCTCGGCTCTGAAGCAAAAAGCTGGTATGCATTGCACCTGCTGCCTTATTATACTCACGCTCTGATCAGCGGCAGCTGGATGCAATAATTGCATGCCAATGTGCATTGGCTCGTTTAGTTTACACTCGAAGTAGATTGGTCTATCGAAGCGATATCCCAATTTGACTGAAAGGGAACAGGTCATGAGTCCTTCATGTGTCCTTGAGAAAGACAATTAACTCGAGGTTGCTCCAGTAATATGTGTATACTGCAAGTTACTTTAAGTATATGCTAAATGAATAGCATGCATTAGATATTCAAACACAGTTGCACAAAAGCTTTAAAGTGGATCTGCAGCTTCACATGAATTATGGACAAAAAGTTCCACACATTTTGTCTGATTAAAGCAAATGTTTAGTATTCCTTAATGTTTTCCTCATGTTAGATGAGTCATGGCACAGCATGCAGCATCGGTGTTCCATCGACCAGCTTGTGAGTCTGTCTCACGAGACGATGTGGGTTAGAAAATCTCACATATTTCCATTGCCAGACTCATGCTGCCTTAAATGACAAAAACAGTGCAAGAACAGTGAAGCCTGTAATTTCATTTAGCAGATTTCATGGGTCTCGGGGGTTATCGAAGCACTTTAAGTTTACATTTGCATAATTCCAATTATATTTGTTACATGTAACTTACCATATAAAGATAATGACATAGAGACATGCTGAAACTTTCCTCATTTTCCTCTGTAGAGGATAAGCTTAACTGACATGACATCCAAGTCTAAAATGAACAGTGCACATAGTGACTGTGCTGTGTAAACAGGAATTATACAGTGTTTAAAATATATTTTAAGAACATTTGTTGAGCAACTGTCCTTTAACAGTACCCGAACTACTAATTCATTAGTTGGTGTAGCCGCTACTGTCTTGTGTTGATGAGGAGGTTCCTGTAAGGTCCTGTGTAGAAAGAGCCAACACATTTGACATCCCTTCCAAGGTTACATGAATTTATTAAGTGATAGCGCTGGCTACTGTGGACATGAAGATCTTACTGGTTCATCTGCTCATTGATTTTTTTATTTTTTTTCATTGTTGTTCATAAAATTTTCATTGGAAGAGAGGGAAAAAGAAGAGGAGCATAATGAGAGTGCAAAGGATGGTTATTATGATAATGCAGTTCTGGAAAGGGAAAGAGTGTGTAGTGCATGTTATTGAAGGCATGCATGCTATTGAGGTTGACAATTATGTTAATGTGCAGTTACATTCATATTGTAAGATTTACAGCACAAAAAAAAAACGTATGCTAAGAAAAACAGCAGATGGAGAAACGACTATACAAACATGTATCCGGCTTGACTCATACCCTCCAATTTTATATCTATGAAACCGGATCAGAATATGTATGGAAGTGGACATGATTTACTTTTTTTCTGAATTCACTCATTAAAGCTTGTGTTCAGTGATCATGACTCACAACTATGACCGCTCAGCAGCAGCCTCCACCCTCCACACTGCGGCTGAGAGCATGTCACAACAGCAGTGTTTCAGGCCTGATTCTCACAGAGTGTGTTTGAAAGAAAGAAAGAGCGAGAAAGAAACTTCAGTTACACCTTCTAAAAAAAAAACACTTCCTTCGAAGAGACACCTCTTCTCGGTTTTTTTCTGCTTGTCATGCAGTTATCTGCAGTAGCCAAAATAGCACACACACACACACACAAAAGAGAGAAAGGGAGTTGTTTTAAGGTATAGCTTTATTTTATCAGAAGCTTGGTTCGGAGAGATCTGGGTCTTGCTTATGCTGGTTTTGGTTCTGGTTTAGATCAGATCTTGCTGCAGCTTTTCAGTGTGATTAGATGGAGATATAGATCAGCAAAGCGTACAACAACACTAGTCATGATGACTCACATACACTCGTATCACACTCTCACACGCATATAGATGCTTTTATCTGCTCCTATCAAAGCATCAAATGTAAAATAAAAATCTATTTGGTTTGTTTATTTTCTGTTGAACATGTTTTAATAATGTCTCATAATTTTGCTGTGTGCATCTGTTTGCTTATTACAGTGTGTGTGTCCAGTCTGGTTATATTTGTGCATGAATGTTGTACTACTTATGTCTATAAGTGTGTGTGTGTGTGTGTGTGTGTGGTTGGGTATGTATTTAAATGATATTTAAACACTGTTCACTAGAGAAGAAGTTCTTCTTGTTTGTTAATCTGTGATTATTAATATACAGTGGACAAAATTATAGGGTTCTCTTGCTCATTGTGTGGTTGTGTGTTGTGCATATGTTTGTGTATGTGTGGCCATATGTGAGGTGTGAGTGAGCTTTCCATATCTTTGTTAATAATCAGATGTGTGTGCAATCATCATTTCAACACTCAACCAGCTAATGTTGTGGCCCATATCTTAAAGGGGAAGTTCTACTATTCCGTTTGTCTTAAAGGAGAAGTTGGGTTTGTTACTTCATGACGAGTCTTAAGCAAGTGTTTTCATCAGCCTCTCCTGCACTTATTTTTATATGGCAGAATGAATGAATTAATAAATTTGACCCTGCATGAGTTCTGGTGATTTTTAAGCTCTTGATTCTCTGACTTTAGCTCTGGGAATTCTTCCAGCTGTGTACCAGGCCCTTGCACTCTTACAAAGACGTCACTCTTTACAAAGACACCTACACAAACACACACTGAGAACAGAACAGAGAAAAAGAGTATTACACAGTGTTCTTTAAACTCTTAATTGGAATGAAAAAGTGATTGGCACACAATGGTTTTTCACTGTTTTTTTGGTTTTTCACTATTACTCCAACTCTGCATGTAAACTCCTGTGTTCTCATGTTTTTTCACTGAAACAGAGAAAAGGCCATTTCATTTATTTTTATTTTAACTTATTTACTTAGTGATATTTGATAATTATCAGTGTATTTTACATGTAAAAACACTTAATGACTTTTTTTTTAAGACCAAAAAAAGAAAAGGTCAAACCTCATTTGTTGGCAGATGCTGCTTGGTGTATTTGTTTAATGCAATGAAGTGTGTACATTTAGAGTGCCATTTAAATGTAACACTTTGGGCCACTCTAATGCAATGACAAATGATGTGGTAATGTTGGTTTGATTGCTTCTGTTGTCCTCATTTGTAAGTCGCTTTGGTGAAAAGCGTCTGCAAAATGACTAAATGTAAATGTAAACAGCTTTATAAATGATGTTTCCGAATTCTGAATAAGATCTAAGTAAATGCATAAACAGTTAAAAATAGACATTAAAAAATTGGACACTGTCTGTGTCCAAGTGCTGATAATTTTGTGAGGGAAAAAGTAACAAGATGGAGGCAATATGATTAAACCTCTTGTGTGACCTCAGACCACAGCTCTGTTGCACCGGTGGGCAGAGCTTCCTCTGCAGGTCTTATGACCCATGAATTAAAACTTTCTAACGCTTTTTGAAAATTATTTTTTTCTTTGTTAGTTGCTGCTTGATATATTACAGTTCAAAAGCTAGCTAATTTGTCTTCTATTTACTGGTATTTTTCACCAGTTGGTTCATGAACCCGTGAAACTGCGCTTGAGATGTGGCCATTAGTTCTGCACGTTCAGCACGACGCTGAACCAGGGCCGGACTGGGACGCAATTTCAGGCCAGGAAGTCTCACACTCATCCAGGCCACACAGAAAAAGAGGGGCCACAATTTTACCTTTTGGGGTACAACAGCTTGACACTGTAGCAGTACTCTTAAAAGGACATCTTTGTACCTTTTTTACCCTTAATAGGAACATATTAGTACCTTAGAGTAGTAATTCATACCCTTAAGGTACTAATTTGTAGGCCTACCTATTAGGGGTAAAAAATGAACAAATATGTCCTTTTAAGGGTACTGCTCCAGTGACAAGCTGTTGTACCCCAAAAGGCACGATTTCGGCCCTTTTTTTTCTGTACATAGCCCATACATCCACAACAATTTCTGAAACTACAGACAACCCTATTATTTGTATGGCCATCACATAAAAAGTTTTAAATCCTTAGTCTGGGGCCGTGGAAAATAATAAAAGGTTCTCTCTTGCACTGCACCTTTAGTTCCCTTTCCCTTTTTTTCATTTGCCCCAATATCTCTGCCCTCCCCCCCACCACCAATCCTGGCGATTTCGGCCCTTTTTTTTCTGTACATAGCCCATACATCCACAACAATTTCTGAAACTACAGACAACCCTATTATTTGTAAGGCCATCACATAAAAAGTTTTAAATCCTTAGTCTGGGGCCGTGGAAAATAATAAAAGGTTCTCTCTTGCACTGCACCTTTAGTTCCCTTTCCCTTTTTTTCATTTGCCCCAATATCTCTGCCCTCCCCCCCCACCACCAATCCTGCATTTATTTGATCCAAAGTACAGCAATAGTAATATTGTGAAATATTTTTACTATTTAAAATAACTGCTTTCAATTGGAATATATTTTAAAACTTAATTTATTTCTGTGATAAAAAAGCTGAATTTTCTGCATCATTACTGCAGAATTCAGTGTCACATGATCATGAAAATATTAATAATAATAATAATAATAACTAAAAAAAAACGGACAGCCGGCCAAATCACCCGCCAGGATTTTGCATTCTCCCGGTGCTCCCAATGGCCAGTCCGGGCCTGAGCTGGACTGTTAAGCGGTCATCATGAGTGGTTTCAAAGCAGCATTCAAAATACTGAAATGCTGCTGATTGCAAAGCTGAACTTAATTTTCATAGTTCCTGTAGTGACTATAACATCCAGTGGGGGGCCTTGGAACTTCAGTGAATGTAGAACATTGAACCTCCATGTCCATATTTAGAGAGAGAGTGAGACAGAAAGAATGTGTGTAATGGAAACGGGACAGAGAGAGAAAGAAAACAGGGAAAGAAATGAGAAAGCCTTGCCAAGGAGGGAGGGCAAAAGGAAGAGGACAGTAATGAAAATTAAAAGGAAAAGAAAAAATTGTGGGGGGGACGGGAGATGGGTTGTGTGGGTAAAGTTCCTCACACCAAGATTCAGACAACTTCTCATCAGGGTGATAAAACCAAACCCCTTTATGATTGAAAAAAATATTCATATTCTTAAAGACAATCCGATATCCTTTCCTTTGTAGGAATTGATGCATGTTTTCTGTGAATGAGAAGATTTAGAGAAGCCTTGCCGAGGATGATTGAGGGAGATGGATGAAAATGAGTCCACGTCAGAGGGTCTCAAACGGCACTGACCTTCATTCTACCAGAAGTGGACCGGTGACGAGGCCTGTGGAAGAAAAGGTGTGTGTGTGTATATGTTCACATGAGATGTCCTTGATTGGACCTCAAACTGAGGGTATGTGAGCTGTATGTCAGAATTTTTCTTAAACGTGTTATGCATTTAGTGATAATGCATGCTTTTAGCTCATATTTAATATTGTTACTGGTGGTAAGTGGTATCTAAATACAAAAGCCTCTACCTAAACTAAATATAGCCTCTTGGTTTGGTTCCTGGAGGTAATTGCTGCATATTTCAGTGTAACATTTAGCTTAAAGGCTACACAGCAAATTAAGAGCAGATTGGCCTGTATTCAGCAAAGATTATCACAATGAAAATGGTTGAAAAAAAAATCTAGTCTGTTATTAGTAGTATTTTTTGGGCCAATAATGGGATTGAGCAATGATGCTGAAGGTGTTATGTCAGCGTGTGTTTGTGTGTGGCATTTACTGTGGCTATTCACTGGAGGTTCTTTTTCATTTGATGAAATAAAATGGAAGTGAAAGGCGCTCCAGCTAATGTACTCAGGTCGAGTGGAGGAGGAAGAGGAGGATGACGAAGGAGCAGGACAAAATGAAGATGCCATTTAGATTACAGTGTGTTAAGTCAGATAGTGTTTAGAAGGGGGAGTGCATGGCCGCTATTCATGCAATGCATTAGGCGGACACTCAAGAGCATTCAATCCTTAGAAAAAGCTCTTCTGCCTTTCTCGGTATTGCATATTTACATCAACTTCACATTAAATGGATTCCATTCTAGTCATGGCACAAAATTGCATAACTCCTGGAATGCTGTTAAAAAAATTTTTGATCTATGAGTGAAAGAAATGTATTTTATTTTATTTAGAGATGTATTAATATAATTTGTTGTTATATAGTTTAGTGGTTAATTCTATGCTTACTTGGCATGTGGTTAATGATTAAGGAATAAAGTTAAATTTGTCACACTTTTTTGTAGAATGGTTGTTTTTGTTTTTTTGACATTTAGTTGAGCATCTGCTTTTCAATTTGTGGTTTATAAAATGATGTCTGCAAGGCTGGGCTTTAGCATAGGGACTTTCCTAATTGATTTAATTTCCTAATTTTCCTAATCGATTCAAAAAGGTTGCTAGAGATTGAGCACAGAAGGTATCTAACTAAAGTTACTCTTACAGTAAATACTGCTCTTACACCGATGTAACATTACTCCAGTCTAACTCACTCTGGTTTTTCTTAGTTTTATTATCTATAAACAAAGGTGGTGAATACATATTCAGGACTTTGAAACAAGATACATGATTCACATGGATTGTACTGTCAGTGTTTTTTTCGTTTTTTTCATTCAGACCCATGTGTCTTGATGTCACACATACATGTTGCCCAGGCATACTTGATATGTTTCACTATATGAAGTTTTCTCTTTTAAGAACATCTGCTCATCTGCATTATGTCTCCACACGTTCCCTGCCACTTTTAGACTGCAGTGCTTTCCAGATCTTTAACAGATGTCTTTGTGATATGTAGTGTGCTTACTGGGATATCATATCAGATAGAGACTCAATACTTTTATATTTGCATTCATGAAATCAGAAGCCTGGGAAATCTTTTTTATGGAACGTTATTTGAGTTAAAATTATGCGGGGCCATGTGTAAAATAATCTTATTTGATTCTTTGTGAAAATCCTTTTTGATCCTATTAGGATCCTTTGTATTTGTTAGAGATTATGAAATAATTTCCATTAATAATAAAAGACTAATATTGTGCATTCTTTTTTGCAATTTTGCCTGTGATCTATTTATTTTTTACTAAACAAAGGGTGACAAGCCCTTACCAACTCTTCTTTTTGAAAGGTCAGTGAAGCGTTCACACCAGATGTCATATGAAGAAAGGAGATTATCTGGTGTGAATAGTTTCTTCTATTACTGCACGGATGGTTGCTATAGTTACTAAATAAATGAATATTTGTTTTAGTTTTCTCTTCATTCATTAATACTTGAATTAAGTATTATGTATGGTGGCCGAGAGAGCTCAATGCGCTGCAAATAAAAAAACACATACAAATAGAAAAAAACACCTGCACATTAAGAAAACATCTTCATCAATTTGACAACACATGCACTGCAATACTCACAACACAACCAATTAAAGAAACGCGCTGCAAATAGGCACAGACCACATCGGAAATGTTTATGGGAACCGCAAAGGGGTGAACATGGCTGGGACATATTTATCAATGTTTGCTCTGAAAGGTGAGATTTTTGGGTTTTTTTACATCTTGATTATATGATTCCTTTGCCTCTTCTTTTATTTTACATTTTTTTAATTATTAGCCTAAATAAAATGACGAAATACATTTGTGGAAACATTTAAGCTGGCTAACTTACTTTACAAATTTCCTTACAAAAATGTACCATATGGTCTTACTATTAAAATAAATTAATTAATAAATACATTTAATATGTAAAAAATAAATAAAAACAAAAAAATGGTTACTATAGTTAAACCATGGTAACCACAAATTAACCATGGATATACTACACTAACCATAGTTTAAAGGTGCAGTAGGAGATCTTGGAAAATGCTAACTTTAGCCTGATAGCACTGAAAGCGAATATCCCACCCTCCCTGCAATAGGTTGTTTACAATCACGTGATTCTGATGACGTGCGAAATGCAGCTGGAGGGCAGGAAGTGATTTTTCTCCATAGAAATCACTAGCAGAAACTCAAAATGCCAGTGTTTTGCATTGTTTATGGATGCTCAAATCGGACAAACCGAGAAACCACAAGGAGTTTTTATCGTGTACAAAAATTCAAGAATTTGACTGAAAAACTCTGGGAAAAGTGGCTTGTAAACCTGCGTCTGCGGTCGGGAGGAGCGAAGCCGGATAATGCTCGTGTGTGCAAATGGTTAATATAAGATAATAATATAATAATATATTAAAATATTAATAAAGAAATATTTAAATAGATACAGGGTGACACTGTCAGAAGTCACTGAATGCTAAACGCCACACATAGACACAATGTAAATAAGATATTGTTTGCAGTTCACAGAATCGTGAGATTGCGATAAATTGAAGTGAGTGACAGCTTTTTAGTGATTAACGTTAGATGAAAGCGCTATTTGCTCGCTTTCTAGGCAGGCTATAATCGCTTCAGAATTTAAATAAAAGTTGTTTTACGTGCTGCTAACAGGACCAACAGCCACCCTGTACATGCAGCAAAGTTTCAGGAGTGACATATATCCCCGCATCCCTCATATACGGGATCAAGTTCGAAATAGCTTGTTTACAATCAGGGTTAGTTGCTTAGCCTATATCCATCGCCTTAATGGCAGGCAAGTACAGTATTTCAATTTAGTTAAAAAATCGCTCCTCTTTATAACATAAGGATCACGTCCAACATGTTGTGATTATCAA